GGGTAATAGCCACAAATAAGTAGCCTCCTCGTCTGTAGTGGCCTTCTCGGCCTTGAGGAGGTGAATTAAAATTAAAAAAAAAAAATATATCTAATTTATCTACTTTTAATAATTTGAGTTTAGTGGAATTATTGCTTTTTTATTTGGTTCATAATGACATCAAAAAGTCCTAGCAGTTGTTAATTTTACATAATTACTAGCTTATGTCACTTTCTTAAAACACCAAAATTATAAACTAGACCAATAATGCAGCAAAATGATTGAAAACTGTTTTATGTATTTAAAAGATTAAACACATAGTTAGTAACTAGTTTTTAGATTTTTTACAGTTCCAGGGCTCTTTTTTATTGTTCTTGAAACTACGACATAATCCATATAAAAATGAACCTAAAACATAAAATTTTTTACTTAACAACATGAAAGTTTCAGTTTATAATTATTTTTTAAACAAAAACTCATTATATTCGGATGATTGGATAGCAGTTTTATTTTCGTAGTAAAATGGACCTGGACTATCTGCTAAGCTTGAGCCTCTTTCTCTGTCGTTTTTACTTTTTTATTTTTAAAATTATTCTGCTGGAAGATTGTTAGTAACAAATTATTTTATTGCTGAAGTTTTTGATTTGTTTTTGTTTTTATATTTATACTGTCTTTATGTCTTTTATCATTTATTGTGCATGTAAATGTTTGTGTGGCGGGGCTCGGTGATAAGACAACCTGTCTTCTTCTTGCTCCGGCCAGGATTTTCTTTTATTTTAATTTCTTTTTTGTAATATTTATCAACGGCAAAATAAATAATAATAAATAAATAATATATTTTTACTGATTACATACCGAAGAAACAAAAATTATCGTATACAGACCCTTTTTCGCATTTATTTGATTTTATGCTTTTGTCAATCAATAAATAATTACATTTTTTTTTTTTTTCATAACCATTTGAAACTTTTGAAACAGCCTCGGGTATAATTATGTTTAATTTAGAGTTATTTCTTCAGGTATATGAGATATGGTACCAAGTCTATATTTCCAGATTCATAAGTACCCAACAAAGTTTTCAGAGAATATCTTTATTGTTCCGAGAATTAATTTAAAATTAAGTTTTTATCGAATTCAATATCGAGGACCTTATGAAAAACTTCGATAAAAAATACTACTCTCTAGAAAGATTTAAAACAGGTTCTAATACTTTTAGTATACTTCAATACAATAGACTTTCAATATTTTTTTTAAAAGGTAATTTTAAAATAGAATAAACGCTTCTATTAGCACTAAATTTATTAAATTGTTAAATGCATCATATTTTTGTTGTAATAATGTTTTAACTTGTTTTTATATAACGAGTATTTGTAAATTTATATAATGAGAAATTTGTTAAAAGTACTTTACGCTTACTATAGGGGCTTGATGACAAGACATCTACTTTATTATTATTTGTTTAAATTTTATTGATTAAGCAAACTTAAGTGTTCTACAAATAAATTCATCAAGTATATTTGTATTAGTATACAAAACTTTCTTTATTTTTTTACCAATATAAAAGTCATTTTAATATTTGACAAAAGTTATGTACTTTTTTACGTTATTAGTTATATATATAAACACGGACAATATGTAAAAAGGGCTCGGTGATAAGACAGTTAATGTCTTCTTCTTGCTTCGGCCAATTTTTATAAATGTGATATGTCTTTATTGTAAATATACGAAACAACAACAACAACAACAACAAAAAACTCAGAGATATAAGCGTTATTAATTCGGAAACATAAGCGTTATATATTAAAATAAAACCTTGAAAATATTAAGTTAATTTTTATGTTTTTATTTTGATAAATAACGCTATCTCTGAATCCGAATTAATAACGCTTATATCTCTGAATCTAGAAATATAGACTTGGTACCTTATCTCATCTTGCGCCTCATTTCTAGAATTTTCTGAAAAAAAAAGGGCCGACAACACCAGGGTCCGTAATACCTGCTGGTATCAAGGCCCCCGGTGTTGTCGGCCCTGATACCAACAAGATATGGTATATCATTTTTTAAATGGAAAAACACATTATTACCTCCTTTTTTAAACACCTCTAAAGTTTGAATTGTAAATATTGCCAGTTAAAAAAAACTTCGACTTCGATCAGTCTTTTTGATTAAAAGTTTAGACTGTAGACCACCCTTTTTCGAGTTGAAGTATTGAATTACTATAGAAAACAGTTTAATGGCCTCACGACTACTGCTATTAGTAGCTACTTTAATAGACAGTTTTTTTTGTTCTTCTATATCTTTTAAAACAGATGAGACAGCATTTGAAGCAAGTACATGATCAACAGTTGCTTCAATTTTTGATCATGTACTTTAGTTGAAAATATTATTACAACTAAAGATGAGGTACAATTATTTAATATGTAACTATAATGATGCTTTACTGTGTGAAATGCAATAGTGGCTTCTGCAGGTGTAACTTGATCCTCTGATTTAGAGTTTGGTGTACAAAAATAGTCAGTCATTTTGCTAAATGACTTTTGCCCTCTGATGCATTTTTTATGTCTATACCATCAGCAAGATCATAACTACCTTTGATTGCAACAGAAACAAATGTGTCACAAGTAAAACACTCCGTCTCATATTCATTTTCTCCTTTTTTGAAGGATGGATGTTTCTCTTGTAACTTTGATGAAAACTGTGTTTTTCTGTTTGGCATTAGTAATTCAATTTGTACATTATTGTAATTGTTCAAATTGTAATATTCCGACGTTATTTCATATCGAAGAAATATGCTGCTAAAATAAATAATTTAAAAACGTCTAGAAAGCTGCGTATTTACAATCCAAATTTACACAGTATTGAAAAGTTTTCAATGAAAATTAAAAGAAAACACACTAATGCATTTAATGCGCTAAAATGCTTTAAAGCTATATCATTCGAACTCACAAACTTAATTTCTTTCTCTATAGACCCCTTTTCGTTGTTTTGATTTTTCGAAACAAATGCGCATGCGCGCGTCTTTGGCAGTCAAAACAAATCGATTTTAAAGCTAAACAGTAAATATTAATTAGCGTCTTTTAGTTAGGAGTTAAAGGTTTAATTTATACAAAGTTTTTTTAATAATCATTTATATTTATAAAATAATATGCCTGACGTGTGTTGTGCCTATGGATGTTCAAATAGAAGAACATTAGCTAATGCTCATTTGAGCTTTTATCGAATACCAACTAATAAATCTGAATCTGGTGCTAACAGAAGAGACAAATGGGTTGCAGCAATTAAAAGAGAAAAATGGAACGTAAAACAAATAAATAATGCTCGTTTGTGTAGTGCTCATTTTACTACAGGTAAGATTTTTAGTTTTCCATTCAGTTTTTTTGTGTTCTAATAGTTTTCATGTATTTGTTATACTTAAATTAAAATAATAAAAAATAAACTCTTAAAACTTTAAGTATTCTTACTTATGTATTAAATGATAATCATCTTTTTTTAGGGAAAAAATCTGATGATCCCTGTCATATTGATTATGTTCCAACTGTATTTTCTTTTAAAAAGACACATGGAAAACAAATCAAATCTTCTTTAGAACGATATGAGCGATCAAAAAAAAGGCAGCGAACTCTTTCTAGTAATGAGTCTATATTATTACCGATTCACGAGGTTGGATCATTTAACGAGACAAAAATTAATGAGTTGGTTGAAGGGGACTGTTTAAATTGTCCTTCAGAAAACGAGATAACCCAAAGAGCTGTTGAAATAGGTAAAAAAAAGAACAAAAAATTTGTAAATTAAATTTATCTTAATTGGTGTCACTGATATATAACTTATGTGTTGATTAACTTTTAAACTAATTGTTTAAAAAAAAAATTTTTTTTGAAGAATTTATTAGTAGTATTATTTGCATATTAGTATAAAATATTATTAGTATTGTAAAATATAAGCATAAAGTATTATTTGCATAATTTTAATTTTAGGCACACAAACTGAAGTATTTGTAACAAAAGAAAAACAACTAAAACGAACTTTGAGAAAAAAGATATTTGAAATACAAAAATTGAAGCAAAAGTTACAAATATGTCAAAGACAATTAAAGTTTACAAAGGAGAAGATAATTGATTATATTAATATTAAAGAAAAAGCATTAAACTTTTTAACTGGAATTACCAAACCAGCTTTGTTTGAATGGATTTTTCAAGAAGTTAAATCTTGTGTCAAACCTATTGTTAAAACAATGTCCTTAGAAAACCATTTATTAATTGTATTAATGAAGTTAAGACTTGGACATAAAAATAAAGATTTAGCTTTGAGATTTAACATTAGTGAAGGAGTCATATCAAAAATATTTTGCTTATGGATAAAACAATTAGCCAATGTATTGTGCAATTTAATTGTGTGGCCTGAACGAGCTGCTATAAGAGCAAACTTGCCATGTTGTTTTACAAACTTTAAAAATTGTGTATGTATAATAGACTGCACTGAAATATTTATAGAAAGGCCACATAACTTAACAGCTAGGGCTCAAACCTACTCTACCTATAAATCACGTAAAACCATTAAATACTTAATTGGAATAACACCAGCTGGTGCTGTAAGTTTTTTATCATCTGGATGGGGTGGTCGAGCATCAGACAAACTGATCACAATTGAGTCAGGTTTTTTAGATAAAGTTTGTTACGGAGATTGTATTTTAGCTGATAGAGGATTTTTAGTGGAAGAAGAATTAGCAACAAGAGGAGCTGTTTTAATAATACCAGCATTTACAAAAAGTAAAAGTCAAATGGCTGTAAAAGACATTGATTTATCACGTCAAATTGCTCGTGTGAGAATCCATATAGAAAGAGTTATTGGGCGTTTAAAAAAATACCAACTATTAACATCAACTATACCTGTAAGCCAGGTTGATTTACTTGATAGTATAATGATTTCAGTAGCTGGACTTATAAATTTAAATAAAAGTGTAGTACAGAAATAAAAAATGTCTAATAATAAATTTTTATTTTCAAACTAAATAGTACAAAATA